CTCTTTGTATTTAACTAACAAAAAAAAGTTTAGAGATTTTCTTATAATCAATTTAACGTTTCAAGTATCAAAATTTTCAAAAACTCAATTTTCTGGGTTTTAAAAGTTTTATCTTTTCTACATGCAATAAAAAAAGCCTCATAGTTAGTTTGAAGTTTTTAAAATTTCTGAAAAAAAAAATTGGGGTTTGTAAACTTTATTTTCTACATGCAATAAGAAAAAAACTCAATCAATTTGACGTTTCTAAGTATCAAAGAATTCACAAACTTATTTTTTGGGCTTGGAAAGTTTTCTTTTTGTACATGCAACAAAAAGAAATCTAATTACTAGTAATTAACATGTTGGAAAATATGATTTGAACAGATAAATATGAAACTACCTTAAAACTGCAATTGATTAGTAACATGTTGAGGAAAAAATGGAAATACAAAAACAATACCTGGAATAAAAAGAAGAGAAAGGCACATAAATATAAAAAAGAAGCATTTGTGTGAAGAAGCCATTTTTCCCCTCAAATTTTCGACAATGTCTCTGTATAATTTGTCTCTTCAAGTAGTATATATGGCCAAAAATTTCTACCATTTCCAAAGTTATATAGGATGTTTCCATATGTCTCTTCAATTGATTATCTTTTTTTTTTATTCTAGTCAATGCTACATTAATGTAAAATGACACATGCAAGCAGATACCAAATTGATACTCTGTTCCAAAATATAAAATGTTTTAGGATTTATATTTTGTTCCATATTATAAATTTTTTTTTAATTTTTATGTAAAATTTAATGTGTTAAGGCCATTAATATTCTGCAGGATTTCTTCTTATTGGTTGATTTATTTATAATTAGATATTAAATAATGATTTTAATGTAAAAAAACAAAATAAAAACTAACATTTATATCATTCTTAAATATCGCGTTTTTATCTAAAAAATCTTATATAATGAAACAGAGAGAGTATTAACATTTAATGTACTGTAAATAGATAATTGTACAACATCTTTTTAAACAAAGATTACAGAAAGAAGTTAAATAAGGTTATTGAAATAAATTCACCGGCCTATTTACCAAAAAAGTTTGATTTATGGAGTAATAATTACAAAAATGCTATTTTTGGTGTGTATATTTGAAAGAATGCCACTTAGGATATCCATTTGCAAAAATGCCACT